ATGGCCAAACCAGCATTAAAAAAGCTTGTTGGTGGGGTGGGGTGTAGCTCAGTGGTAGAGCACTTACCTAGCAGGTTCACAGTCCTGGCTTCAAATCCCAGCACCACAAACAACAACAACACCTGGTAATGAGATGTGTCCCCCAGTTGAAGAACCACAAACACTGTGCTTTTTTTCTTTTCATTTTATGTCAAATTTTAAAATAATTTTAGACTCACTGAAAAGTTGCAAGAAGTAATAGTTCTTGTGTACCCTACGCCCAGCTTCCCCTGAAGTTAACATTTCATTGAGGTGCAGTTACAGAAAGTAGGAGATTAACATTGGTGCACTGCTGTTAAGCAAACTGCAGGGCCTGCTTCTGATTTCGCTGGTTTTGCTGTCACTTTTGTGCCTGCGATCCTGTCCAGGGTCCCCACCTGCACTTAGCAGTAGCACGGTCCTCAGACAGCAGCAGCAGCTTCTCTTTCTCCATCCTTATACCTGGATGCAAAGGGAGAGGACCCATCAGCAGTGTTGCCAAATGTCCTTCCGTTTGTTTTGTCCTGTGTTGTCTCGTGCTTGGAGGGAGACAATATCTTTTGGCTGAGAAAACCACAAAAAGGGTGAAAGGCTCCCGTGACCTTCCTGCCTCAGCCTCCCTAGTAGCTGGGCCTACAGGCACATGCCCGGCTCATCAGCTGCTATTACTCACAATTATCACCAGGCGTTTGTTTGTCTAAAGTAACGGTACCTTTCCATTTCCTTCTATGGGTGAGTGGCATTTCACCTTCTGGAAGAGCTGACCTTCCCACCTCCACCCCGTTTACTTATTTATCCAGTTAATTAGTTTTGTTCAGTATGGTATGGTCCCTCTTTTAATCTTTAAGCAGTCTTGCAACCTGGGTGCCCCCGGGGCACTCTGGTGAGTTAGAAAGGAGGCCACACCGCTGGGAGCAGTAGCTCAGGGCTTCAGGCCTTAACTGGTGTACCGTGTGCAAAGGATCCCTAGGACACAGACCCTGGCCTCATCCTGCTCTGTTCCCTGCTCCAGGCTCCTCCTCCAGCCTCCCTCTCCCTTTCTCCCTCCTGTGGCGCCAGCTGTCCACTCTCAGCTCCTCTCCCTTCCCAGGCCCAGTGTCACCTGAGATGACTTCCCGACTCTCTGCACCCTCGGGCCTTCAGGCCTGCAGGGAGGACATGGGGAGGGCACACCCCTTGGACCTCCCTCAGTGCTGGTGTGCGTCCACTGTCTCTGTCTTCTCTGTGTAGGGGCATCGGCCTCTCTGGAGCAGCAAGCCGGTCCCTGGATCCCCGCTCCTGGTCCTCAGTAGGTCAACACTCGTGAAATGGATGAAGTCGACTCCAAAGTCCGTACCTCTTCTGCTGTCCGGTCCACCTACCCAGTGCATGGCCATGGGCCGGGGATTGGTGCAAGTGACAGGAAGTTGTAGGCAGGAAGAACAGCACCGCTGTGGGCGGACTAAAGTTAGGAAGCAACAGGCGCCTCCCGGTGTATCTCAGTCCCTGGTCTTTAATGCCATCCTGTAGAAAAGGAGGCTCAGAGAGGGGCTGTGACTTGCCAGGGTCCCACAATTGGATCACACCACAGATGAGATTGGAACCCAGGCCTGTGGGACTCCAGCACCCAGGCCCCAGCCACCACCCTACCCTACCTCCTCACACCCACCCCGGAGGCCAGCACGCTTCCAGACACAGGAATTCCTCCAGACCCCAGATCTGGTGGCTTTGCGTGACTTTCCCTCATGTTATTAATTGCCTTCAGACCCAGCCTCTTTGGGTGTTTCTCTTCCAGCTAAAAGAGCAATAAAAGACAGCATAATTGGAAGACAAAAGCGACGGCCTGGCCAGCCCGCCCCAAGGAGCAGAGTGCCGGTAACTTGGGTGTGATCTGACCTGTGATTCACACAGCCAAATTACAGGCTTCCGTGCACAGGTGTGCACAGGCCTCTGGGGAGGGTGCGTCAGCACAGAGTTCACCCCAGCGGGCGGGAAGAGCCAGGGCAGCCACCCAGGGGGATGGGGATGAGGCCGGGGCACAGCCCTCAAGAGTTTGCATAGGGCTACTGTGCCTAAGTCCCATGCTGTGGGGTGGGCAGGTGCTGGGCTCTGGTGGGGTCCATGCAGAGCCGGATGCAGATGGGACCTGAGGTAGTGGGCGCTCAGAACCAAAGGACTGAGCCCTAGGCCCAGGACTGGGGGAAGGCAACAGGGCAGGTCGTGGCCTTAAAAGCAGTTGAAGCAGGGCCCTGCCATCCTGATGGCCACCAGAAGGTTTTCTGTAGGAAGTAGGATGTGGAGTGTGGTCCCTATGACCCTTCCATCCCTACTGGTGGTGGGAGGAAGTGTTCATTTTGAAAGGGAGGAGAGGGACACACCCGAGGGGCCTGCTGAGCAGCCACCTGCCAAGGTACCAGCTGAGGGGCCTTGTTCTGGATCTGGGCTTGGAAACCAGCTGTCAGGGGCCGAACTGAGGCCTCAGCTGACCTTTGTCTCCATATTCAAGTCTCTGTCTTAGGCAGAACTGGACCTAAGCACCGAGCTGCCTCCAGGGTGGCTTGGACACTGGACACAGAGTGTGCCCAGGTCTGGGCCCTAAGTGGCTCCCACATGATTGAAAGCTGCCCCGGGGCAGTAGCCCCAGGTTCTCTTGGCCTATAGATATCCTTTGGCCCCAAGCTTAAGGCTGTGGGCTTTCTAGGGTTTGCCAGAAGCCTGTTCAGCTTAGGACCCTCCTGTGGCTCTCCATTGTCCCTTTCCTCAAACTGGGGAGTGAATCCCCTAGGATCTAAGACTTGGCATTGAGCCATAAACAAACCACCAGGCAAAAACCTGATAAGCATCCCCGTTTATTTCATTTACATGGCAAGTCATTTGTTTTAATATTATCTTAGAAGTCCGAGCGCGTCTTATGTTGACACAGTTTGAATACAAACTGCTATAAAAGGCAGCTGTCAGAAATCCCCCTCCCACTGAGGTCCCAGGCCTCCCATCGCCCTGTTCCCTAAGAAGCACTTAATTGGTTTCTTGTGGGTCCTTCTGGTACTTCGTTGTGTAAATGCATATGACAAGGTATATTTGTACACAGATATGCTGTCCTGTTCCTCGCGCTTTTACTTAGTACTGCGTCTGGGAGATCTTTCCACACTAGTATATACAGCCCCTCCTTCCCCCTCCCCTTCTGCCTCTCCTCCTATTTCCCTTCCCTTTGTCCCCTTCCTCCAACAGCTGCATAGTACTCCACAGTGTGTGTATAGCATAGTTTATTTCCCTTGCCTTTTCACATGCACTTGTAAAACAACGGGGTTGTCACCAAGGTGTTTTTGTTTCTTTTTTCTGTGACGAATAAACTTGTACGTACATCATTTCTCACAAGTTCAAGGTGTATCTGCTGAGCAAGTTTCCAGCAGCAGGGTCGCTAGGTTGTGGGTCAGACACATCTGTCACTCTGATAAGAATTTTGAGACCATTTTTCATCGGGGTTTGTGGTATCATTCTGCATTCTCACCTGCAGTGCCTTCCTGGCGGGCTGGGTTGGTGCACTTTTGGAGTCTTGCCTATCTGATAGGTAAGAAACTGTCTTTTGGTGTAGTCTGAGTGCATATTGTCCTTCATATAAAGGAGATTGAACATTTTCCTACGTTTAAGGGCAACTGATTTTTTCTTTTCCTTGAAACATTCATGTCAAATCTTGTGCCCGTTTTTCTACTGGATTGTCAGACTTTTTCTCCTTTTCTCTAAAGACTACACAGTAGGGAGATTGGCCTTGGCTATGACTTTGTCTACAGTATTGTCTTTAGAAGATTATTATTTACTATCTCTCAACTTCTCTGGCTTTGCAGTTTGGAGGTGTCATTGGAAGACATCCCCACCCCCACGGCTGTAAAAGGGCCTCATCCACCTTCCTCTCTGGTCCTCTTATGGGGTTCACCCTTGGCGCGTGGCTCGTGTGCATCCCCTGGAATTCGCCTGCGTTCCGGTGAGGAGCAGGTCCAGCTGCATTGGCATCCAGGTGGTTTCTCGGTTGTGGCAACCGCACTGATGACAAAGCCCACCGTTGCCAGTGTGAGGCCGCCTCTATTGCAGCCGTAAGCCCACTGTGTTTGGGGGTGCGTCTCCCAGCTTTCCGATCTCTCTACTCAAGTCCACGATAAAGAAATGGAAAACTTTCTTTTATGTGAAAACTAAGGAGGTGTGATGGAGCACAAGGTCAAAGTTGCCTGTATTTTCAAGATAAAACTCAAGAGATTCTGAGCTGGTTGGTCTCCAACCTTTCCTCTCCTTCCCATCCTAGCCCACCACAGAGCCGTCTCAGGGGCGAATCACTGGGCATCAGGGGCACTGCAGCCCCGGAGGCCCTAATGGAAATCAACTGAGTCTTCCTCTCCTCCCAGAAGACTTCCGGGACACCCCCCACCCCCGCCAAGCTGGTGACTCGCTCAGCAAGCACCCGGAGCAGCCTCTTTTCCCAGCACCCATTAGTTCTTGGGCATCGTTATGTCCTGCTGACTTGTCTCGAGAGCTTGATTCCTGCTGGTTGTGAATCAGCCAACGCACTTCTTACTCATTTATAGGGCAATAATTTGGCCACAGCCAAGGTTGCCACGTGCAAAGTGCTTGATTCCTATAAATTGTCAATCACTCTGTGGACATTTCTGAGTTCCTTCTTGGGGTTTGGCCCTGGATCTACCTCCACTTTTCTATTGCCCACCCTCAGTCTGGCAGCCCCTCCCCCAGGCCCCATGCCAGGCCTCCTCCTGCAGGAAGAGGGCTTTGCTGAGCAGCCGAGGTCCTATATTTCGCTCTGGAAACTGGTGGATTACTGTCTTCAAGACTTCCTGAACCTTGGCCACGGTTTGCTCAGGACAGCCTGCCAGGCCCACCTGGGGACCCAGGGACCCACCTGGCAGCTTCATGGGAAACAAGTTGCAAAGTGCTGCTCCAGTGGCCACTCACTTGGAGAGCACAGGAGAGGGTCTCACCTGACCAGAGGATGCTGGTGGGAGCCGCCCTGGCTGGAGATGGTCCTTGGTTCCTGTTTGAGAAGAAAAGGTTCAGGCCAAGCAGGGGAGGGAAGAGGGAGCCTTCCATTGTTCAGGGCAGCAGAGTGCAGAGGTTTAGGCAGCGTCCCCTCCACCAACCCCCTTGCGCCCTCTGTTTCCCAGCCTGCACCCTGGGTCTGGGGTCCTGGGAGAGTGTGTCCAGCGGGTCAGTATGGCCAGGGCGGAGTCTGGCCAGAGCTGTTACTGAGCAGGTGATGTGCAGCTGGGGAGAGAAAAGAATGACACAGGGTCACCACCATCTTCACGATATCCAGGTGTGGTTTAGGTGTCCTCATCTGAGAAATGGGCACAGCAACCCAGGCCTGCCTCTTCCTGCCTGCAAGGACAGGTACAGAGTACACAGTGAACATGAGGAATCTCTAGGAGCTGTGGAACCGACTTTTGTAGTAAAGTTGAGTTGCTTGATGACCCCAGTCCGCAGAGCCCTGGGGGGACCTCAGAGGCCCATAGGGAGTAGTAGACAGGAGGCCAGAGCTACAGGAAGGCTGACTAATTGATCTGCAGTCAGAGTTGTAAGAAGATGGATTAAGTGGCTTTGAAAGGAAATGAGCTCCCCATCACTGGTAGGGTGAAAGAAAAGCTAGAGTTTCCTTGAAAAGCTGCAAGCCAAATGTGGATCTGTCAATCAAATCCCCAAATGACTCTGGTGTTGGGTTGGCTTTTAAGACTTATTTCCTTTTAGCCTGATGTGGTGACTCACAGCTATAATCCTAGCATTCAGGAGGCTGAGGCAGGAGGAGTGTCAAGAGTTTTAGACCAGTCTCTGCTATGTAGTGAGACCTTGTCCCACCAAAACAAAACCAAAACAAAAGACTTATTTCCTTTGCCTAGCCCTCAGTTGCTCCCTACCTCCAGGTGCTCCCCCCACTTCCAGTCTTAAAAAGAATTTATGGTGCCAGTTATCCTGATGCTGGAGGTGGTGGCTACATGCTTATAAAGATCCTCCAGGCAGAAGCGTCACTCTCCCTGGTGCAGGAGGCTGCTGGGTGTATTAGTGTATTTTCTGTTACTATACCAACATACCCAAGCTGGGTAACTTTATAAAGAAAAGAAGTTTATTTTGCTCACTGTTCTGGAGGTTCCAGGACTTGGTGCTGGTGGTGAGGACCTCATGGTGGCTGGCATCACAATAGCAGGAGGAGCAATCATGAGAAGCCAGACAGGCTGCGGAAAGTTCATTCTTGTTCTTTCCAAAAACCAACTCAGAAGAGCTACCTGATCTCTTCCAAGGACAGGGACCTCAGTGGGCCCCACTAGGGTGTACCCCTTAAAGGTCTCCCCCATCTCTGCATGACCACTCTGGGGACCAGACTCCAACAGGTGAACCTTTGGGGACAAACCCCATTCAGACCACTGTGTGAGTCCCACACGAAGGGGATGGCAGTGTTTCTAGTCCCAGTTGTGCCCCTTTGAGCCCCAGCTCCTAACTAGCTACCCAAAGCCAGCATCTCAGCTCCTAACTAGCTACCCAAAGCCAGCATCTCAGCTCCCAAGTGTGGCTGTGTGGGCAGAAAGGCCACTTCTCCTCCCAGGGCAACTTGGACATTGATCCTCCAAAGTTAACGCCCTGGTAGGTGGGAATGTGGTGGTTGTGTTACATCATCCTACTGTATTTGCTCTTCCAAGACTTGATCTAGACAAGGTGAACGACAAGTTCAAAGTCACCTTGGTGTCTGACCCAGGCAGTGCAGACGCCAGAGCCCTGGTCACCTGGCTTTGCCTCCCGGTCCCAGCCCATCGTTGCCCCCTCACCAGCCTGTGCCAAGATTGAATGAGATAATGGGCGTAAAGCTCTCGGCTCTGTCTGCCGGGCAGTAACTGCTCAATAAACACAGCTGCCACTGTCCCCGGAATTGTCACCCACCTCTCAGGATCCTTTGGCTCCCCTGGCCCTGAGTGCCTTTTCTAGCTGCGGGACCTGGGCTTTCCTTTCTCTCCTTGCCCTCCACCCCCATGCCATTACAGCCAGATCATAAAATCTCCCGGGGAGGGAGGCTAGTGACATCTTTAGTGGCGACATTTGGGTGAAAAATTCATGACCATCAGTTACTCGAGGAAGAGGGTGGAAAAATGGGCCATTTCCGCGGCTCAAGAACGTGGCTCTCCCCAGGCTGTGAGTCCACAAATCTATTTTATGTGACGAGATCTATAGCCTCATAGAAGGAGCTTATCACAGGCTTAAGAAAAAGCGCGCAATAACGCGCCTCTCCCATCTCCTCCTCCAGCCCTGCGAGGCCCCCTTCTGTAGAATGGGGGCCTCGGCACCTCCGGGAGCCACAGAGACTTCAGAGACCACTGCAATCCAGCAAAGGTGATGGCTGGGGTGGCCTGGGATGAGGACAGAGCTTTTGTCCTCAGCTTCTGGAGGCTGCAGTCCTGCCCCTGTCACCACAGGAAACCCGACACTCCGTTCCCTCAAAGCCTCTGAGGGACCTGGGGGGTTTAACTGTCTCTTTGTCCGCTGGTTGAGATGAAGGAGAAATGGAGGTTTTGCTCCTCTGACTGTTATCCCAGCTGAGCTGGACAGTGGTGACGGATAAGGGTGTCTCCAGCCAGCTGTCCCCAGGGCCCCAGAGCCCAGGCCAGTCTCCAGAGGCCTGGGCAGCTTGGAAGAGGCAGGGGCTTGGTGCCTGGTGAGGTGGAGCTGGTCCTTGGGAGTCTGGGTGTGAGGTACACTCTCTGTCCGTAGGTGAGACCACCCGAGCAGGTGGCAGAGACTGCAGACACAGGCCAGCAGGGGGTGACAGATCCAGGGTCTGGAGGCACACAGTGATTCTTCCTGGCCCTCAGGGCAAAGCACTGCTCCAGGGTCTCAGAAAAGCTCACCTGTCAGTCAGGCCCTGGCAGCTGGAGAGGAGCCCAGCGGGTACCACACATGAGAAGAGACATCAGGCACAAGAGACTGCAGGAGCCTGTGGAGTGCTGTGCCCAGAAGCCAGAGCCTCCTGGGAGTCAGGCCCCGCCTGGAGGCACAGGCCTTCCGGTGCTGGGGGGGGGCAAAGTCCAGAGCAGTGAGCCGGAAGGGAAGGGCCACTTTACTTTCTATTTTCATTTCTTTTACTTATCATTATTATTATAGCAGTGCTCAGGATAGAACCCAGGGCCTTCACACTGCGCTCCATTCCCAGCTCTTTAATTTTAAATTTTGAGACAGGGTTTCAGCAAACTGCTCATTTGCCCGGGCTGGGTAAACTTTTAAACCTCCTGCTTCAGCCTCTCACAGTGCTGGAATCGCAGGTGTGTGCTGCCATGCCAGGCTAAGGAGGTCATTTTAAACATGTGCGCCTGGCTATGACTCCACCTCATTCAGGGGGTCCCATGGGGTGCACAGAGATGCGCTGTAGACAAGAGAAGAGAAAATAAAGAAGACAAGCCTGTGAAGGACAGAGGGGCCGGAGCGAGGGCAGGAGGCTGCAGGCCAAGTGGGAATCCCAGTCCAGAGTTCTGTGAGCCCAGGCGGTGACTGAATTCTCCACGCCTCCATTTCCTCATCTCTACAATGGGGTGACCGGCGAATTAAAGGAGGTAAAACCTGGAAAGTGTCAACATGGTGACTGACACCGAGCGCTCCACAAATAATAACCGACCATTAGTCAGTCTACCACGCATCCGTCCTGCTTGGGCGACTGCCTGGCTCAGGGCCACTTCCTGGGGCTGAGGTGGATTCCTAAGGTCCCAGTAGGCAAAGCCAAGGGGAAACTGCCTCAGTCACCATGCCCGGGGCTCCACAGGGCAGCCTCACTGGTGCTTGCCCCAGGGCCTCTGTGCGGGGCTGCAGCTCTTGCAGAACCCATTTCCTCCCCTGCTGCTCTCCAGGCATCCACTCAGAGGCCACTTCCTCCAGGAAGCCTATCTGACCCCAGCTGAGTCAGGCTCCCCTCACTTGCCCAAAGGCTCTGTGTCCTCACCACCACCCATCTCATACTTCATCAGGGCAGCAGCCTGGTCTGACCTGGGCCTCATGTATCCCTGTGCCCTGTGCAGAGCCTATCACCTGCATGTTGCTGAATGAACGAATGAGTGGGTGGTTTATTGTTACCTGGGCATCTTCCTGCCTCAGCCTCCCAGAGTTCTGGGATTACACTTGTGCACCTCAATGCCCGCATTGTTTTGTTTCTTGTATTTTCCCTTCTAGTACCTGTGTGATGAAAGATCTGACCCTGGTGGAAACAGAGAAAGCTCCACGGAAGACACACAGATGGTTCCAGACCAGGACTTCTGTGGGAGCTGCTCTATCCTCACCCACTTAGCATCACAGGGCTCTGGCGATAATTTCACTTGCAAAGAAAGTTGGAAAAGAATGTAAAGCCACTTTCCCGGTGAAGTGGTACATGCCTGTCATCCCAGCACACTGGAAAGCTGAGACAGGAGGATCACAAGTTTGAGCCCAGCCTCGGCAACTTAGTGAGATTCTGACTAAAAAAATAAAATAAAATAAAAATAAACAAGGACCAAGGCTGTATGTAGCATGCACAAGGCTCTGGGTTTTTCATCCCTAACACCGCAGAAATAGACAAACATTGCTAACTGGAAGAGAAAAGCTGCCTGGCTAGATATTCTTTCTTTCCCCATTAAGTTTATTAGGTAAACAGTACAGTTAGTTATATTCATCACTGGGATCTTGTACCTTAGCATGGTTCTGGCTGGATGTTCTTTTTGGTACCGGGGATTGAACTCTGGTCCTCTGCTTGCAAAGCAGGCGGCGGCGCCACTGAGCTACATCCCAGTCCCTGGCTGGATATTCTTAAAGAGAGGAGTTTTATTAGAGCCTGGTGGCTGCTCCTGAGGGTGTGGCCCTCGAGGGACAAAGGGCAAAGAGTTTGCAAATGACTGTGTTCCTTAAGTAGGCTGAGTGGCTTCTTTGTAGTCCTTCTTGTCCTTTAGTCCTTTTTCTCTTAGATGGTTGAAGACCATGCTAGCCAAGCAGAGTCCAGGTCCAAGTCAGGCCAAGGTCAGGGTGGTGCCGTGTGAATTATGGTGACCGCGCTGCCCTCCCACCCCAGATGGGAGGCTGGATGGCTCCTTGGGCCACTCGGGAACCTCAGAAGTCATCACCGTCATTACCGGGAGTCCCTGAGTGGCCCAGGGGACACACTGTTGGAACATCCTCTTCACCTGGGGCAGACTTGAAAGGGGCAGGGTGGGGAATCAGCAGGGGTTCCCCAGCTCCTGCAAGGAAAAGAGGAAGGCAGGTGTCAGCTGAGAGCTGGTGGCCTTTCCTTGGGCAGCCCAGGGTCACAGGGGCAGGGCAGGGGCTGGGCCAGGAGGTGCTGCTTATTCCTAGTCAGCCTGGTTGGTTGGAGGAGGAGGGGCAGATAAACAGCTCCCCCACCCCAGCCCCTGCAGAAGAAAAAAGAAAGAGAAAGAAGCCAGCAGAGGGTATGTACACCAGTACTAACAGCACTCTTGGAGGCGTTGCAAGTCTGAGCCCAGCCTGAGACCCCAATGGGGTGGAAGTCGGGGGCTTCTGGGACCCCAGGGCTGCCCGGCTGCCCAGCCTGACCTGGCCCTGCTGACCTCAGCACTCAGGGGCACTGGTTACCAGCGATACTGTCCTGGCAACAAAAGGTGGGGCTTCCCTGGGCTCACAGGCCAGGTGGGGACAGCTAGTACAGTGGAGTGACAGGTGGGCCTGTCCTCAGGGATGACCCTGCTGAGGGTTGGCTTCCAGAGTTTCTCAGACTTTCTCAGTGGGGGCTGGTGCAGGATGTTCCCAGCTGGAGCCGCTGTCTCCTGGCGACACCCCACCTCTCTTCCCTGTACTCAGCCCTGCCCCGTCATGTGCTGTGAACGCCTCGGCTTCACAATGAGTCTGTTGCGATTTGCTGTGTGACTCTGCACCCATCACTTGGCCTCTCTGAGCCTTACTTTCATCATCCACCCTGAATGCCTTTCTAAAAGCTTCTCTGTAAATTGGGCATTTGGGATGTAGCCCCTATAGTCTGAGTTAGGGACCAAGGGAGGGACCAAGCCAGGGACCACACAGGGTCCAGCCAAGGCCTCCACTTACAGATCCATCCTGGAAGGCTTCCCGTAGGAGGGGAGGAGACCCAGAGGGACAGGGTGAGCACAGCTGGGAGGGCTGAGAGGGGTGTGTCTCCTCGAAGTGACAGTTGAGGAATGGGGGCCCTGCCACTCACCCCAGTGTGTTCACTGGCTTGGCCACCCCACTGCGTCCTCAGTGCCACTGACAGAGTTGTGAGGACTAAATGAAAGCAGGGCACGGGGCAGTTGGGGCCCATCCCATTGCCCCCTTGATTTGGGGGTAGTGGTGCCCTTGGGCCTTCTCACCCCTGGGTAGCCTTAAGGCCAACAGCCCCAAACTGAGTAGACAAAGGTAGAGGTGAGAGGACAGAAGGGGGAAACTGAGGCATGACACCGCCAATGGGCCAGGCCTTGTGCCAGGAGTCTCATTTACTCTGTGGACTGGCATCAGTTCCACTTTAGAGATAAAGATACTGAGGCCCAGAAAGGGTAAAGATGTATTGGAGCCAGGCATGGCAGCATAGGCCTGTAATCCCACAACTCTGGGAGGCTGGAGCAGGATTTCAAGTTCAAGCCCTTCCCCCCGGCAAATTTTGAAACTTAGCAAAGGCTCTGTCTTGAAATAAAAAATTGAAAAGGGCTTGGCATCAGTTCCACTTTAGAGATAAAGATACTGAGGCCCAGAAAGGGTAAAGATGTATTGGAGCCAGGCATGGCAGCATAGGCCTGTAATCCCACAACTCTGGGAGGCTGGAGCAGGATTTCAAGTTCAAGCCCTTCCCCCCGGCAAATTTTGAAACTTAGCAAAGGCTCTGTCTTGAAATAAAAAATTGAAAAGGGCTGGGGGATGTAGCTCAGTGTGAAGCGATAGGGACACACACACACACACACACACACACACACACTCAATTGGGTGAGGGCAGCCAAAAACCCAAACTCACGTTGGGGCCACCCCAGAGTAGGGTAGAGGACCCCAAGTCGCAGGGCCAGCTCCACAGGCCACGTGCTGACAGGGAGGCTGGGAGGAGGTGGAGGGGGTCCTAGGATGTGTGTCCTGGTCCTTGGGGTGAGCTCGGGACCTGGCGAAGTTGAGACCGTGCCGGGATCCGGGGACGAAGAGCACCCTTGTGGCTGGGGGCACCTCCTGGTCCTGGCTGTGCGGCCGGACTCTGGCGATCCCTGTTAGCGCGGCGCCACCTAGCGGCGCTCTGCAGAAGCGGCGGCGCGACTTCCAGAATTCCTCCAGCCTGGGATCCCCAAGGAGGGGGAAGGGGGAGCTGGCAGGGGCCACCCCTGACACCAGAGAGGTGATGGCGGGGAAAGGGAGGCTGGCGGGAGGCAGGCGGGTTGCCTCAGCCTTGCTTTTGGCTCTGACCTTGCCCCTGGTTCCTTAGTGACTTCTTGGCCCCTGCCTCTCTGAGCAGAAGTGTCCACTAAATAGGACCATGGGGGCTGTGGCACAGAGGCCAGGGAGGGTGTGGGTGTCCAGATCAGCTGGGGAGCCTCAATTTCCAACAGGGGGTATCTGTGGGTGCCCTGAGGCTCAGGGAGCAGGAGGGAGACACAGTCCTGGGGGAGGCTGCAAGGTCAGGCCAGAGGCAGAGGGTCTAAGGAGGTGGGAAGTCAAGAACCTGCAAGACCAGGGGCTAAAGGAGCTCCTCCCTCAGGAAGACCCGGCATACCTACAACTATGGTTCGTCCGCCATCACACTTCCCTACACCCTGACACCTCTGCCCTGTGCAACTACAGCATCCTTCTGTTGCTGACAGACAACAAGAAATACCAAACTTTATTCAAAGAAAAGGATGTCTGAGTGAGGTGGTGCACACCTGCACCCTCAGCACACTTGGAAGGCTGAGGCAGGAGGATCCCAAGTTCAAGTCCAACCTGGACAACTTAGTAACTAATTAAGACCCTATTTCAAAATCAAAACTAAAAAAGGAACTGGAGATG